TTTATGATTTCAACAAGTGTTGCTGTCATCAGTCTCTAGAGTTCCCATCATGAATTAGTCCAATAATTGGATTTTAATTAAGAAAGTCACTTAATCCTACACTATTTTTGAAATCTAATTATGTCTTTAGTAAAATCGGCCAAGTTTGGTATTTTCTGGACAGCATTACTCTTTTTCTAGTGCAATCTCCTTCCATTACTTTTATTTCAGTTCATTTTTCTTTTTTTTTCCCCACTCTTGTATTTCCTGTATTGCTATTATGGAAAAATGTCAAGATCTAATGGATGAAATACATGTGGAATGCAAACACAAACCTTTATTAATTACACACATTATGTCACTAAAAAAAAATCTTTTTAAGTAAATAAAAATAGAGTATTTTTCAATTACTATAGCTAGAATCTTCAGATTTTACTTTTTTTTTTTTTTCCCTTTGAATTTCATGCCATTATTGGTGAGTTGAATATAAGCCTCGCTGTAAATTGTACTCGCATAGGCAATAATTTGTGTCTCACCTCATCTCAAGTATCTGGGGAAAAATTCTGACTATCCACACACAAGTGTCGCCTGAAATAAGTCCAGTGAAGCCTGTAGACTTGCTCATGCTTATATCACAGAAGCATTCAATGATCCAGATACTACTGAATGTACATTACCCTTTAGTCCTTCTTGATCCTGAATTTCACATCTCACTGTAGCATTGTACTACAAGAAGAAAAAAATACCAACATCTTAATACAAGCCATTTCTCTTGAGATGTTTGGAATATTCCCATATTTTGCAACATGGAATACAGATTAACACTACTTGATGGTATGTCTTTGACTATAAGTAGGCAGAAATCAAAGTAGTAAAAAGTCTCACAGRGATATTTTTATATTGTTTATATTTATAATGTAAAATATTTATATTATTTAAATCTGAATACTACATACATATTCTGACCTGGAAAAATGATGATAGCATGGGACAAGGGACTCTGTTTTTTGTATTTATGCTAACCATAAAAATCCTCCGCTTGATGTGAAGATATCCTTGAAACTAAAAAAAAAAATCTATTAAAAAGAAGAGAGGTCCTGATGAACTAAATGGTGGTGATGTAAAGAATATTTCAGTGAAYATCTCACTGAAAAATAATTTCAGTGAGATTATTTACACGAGAAATATGAAGTAGCTGGCCTATACACAGTATAGTACAAATAGAGAAAAGCTGTGGAGGTCATAATATGTCATTGCAGTGTATAGGCAACTGCAGTTCAATTCAATAGTACTTCAATATGCATATAGATGCATATTTGCTCATAACACAAGCTGGTTTTTTATTCCAAGAGAGTCATTGTTAATATTTTAATATATTCATTCATGAGATGGAAGAAAACTTCCATTGATTTTAATAGGAATAGAATTCCCAGCCCAAACATTGACTGCAACCCCAAAACTCTGAAACACYAAGAAAATGTCTGGATAGGCTCATGCCCTACCTTACTGTTAGACTGGGTCAATTTTTCACCTTCTGAGGTTTCAGCCCTCACTAATGYGTTCCATCTTTGTCTTCTTTGCATGCCTTCTTTTTAAAATAATATTTCCAAAATGAAACACATTGTTTAAACAAATTATGCTGCACAGGATTTGGATCTATTTGCTGTTTGAATTTTATATGTGTATATGACATACATAGATATATGATATATAGATATATATCACTTACATAGATTTGGATTTTCTGTATCTGATCCTTTCAGTTCCACAAGCCAGCAGGCTAATTTCAAAAGTTATGAAAGATGTCTAAAAGTTAGAATATATTTCAAACCTTTAACGAAAGTCCAATTGCATTTTAAAGTATAATTGGACTTCTAAAAAGTTCATTTGTGAAACATGAAACTGTGCCTTTTTAATGCTCACTTACTGACACTACCTTGCTAAGGACCTTATTGCTAATATCCACCTTATGAAACAGCATCCAAATGGTTGAAATTAAAATTATCTTTAAAAAAATCCAATATTGTACTTTAGCTGCTATACAAATATTACAAAATCAAGTAAAAGTCAAGCGACGGTGTCACAAAGTCCTAAATGTCAGATTTTCATAAGCATTGCACTCCCTATCACATGTCCACAGCTGGAATCCTTTGGATCTTTTATTATTCTTTTATTATTATTAATAATTTTATTTTATTTTTAACATTATTTAATCTTTTATTTTCTTTTTTTTTCCTTATTTGACAAATAAAAAAAAAACAATTCAGGTTCTCACATGCTCCTTTTTCCTAGAGAGACAACTGTAGGAAGGTGAGAAGCTTCCAAAGTGCTTTTCGGCAGGAAAGCTCAGTTAAATACTGTGTCCCAATGGCCTTCAAAGAAGGAAGCTTAAGAGAAAAGAATCCCTCAATGGAACCAAATGAACCTTGAATCAGCTCTGATCTTATAGTAAACAGTTTCATCCATCCTTAATACCTCTCCCTTAAGCATCTGCTGTCAGGTAGGCAGCATACAGGCAGGACTGCTCATGGAAGACTCTGCTGAATGCACAGGAGAGGAAATCTTGCCTGGGCTGAGGTTAAGAGGAGTTGTGCTAGTGATTCCAATGGAGCCAGCAGTAACTTCTCAGTATTCTTCTAAATTGCATATGTGCGTACAGGTAAGAAAGACTAGCAAGAGCTAGCTGATGTTCTCAGAGGAACATTTCTTTGTTTCTTGCATGAATGAAGACATTGTTAGACAGACCTTGGAGAAGCTGGATCAAGTCACATAGACACAGTCCATAAAGCTGAATAGCCCCTTAGTTTGAGTTTCAACAGGGAAAGTGTTGACCTCTCCACTCTCTCATTTAGTTAAGTGAAAGAGGTAACATTAAGACTTTCACAGGCAGGCTCAGGGTACTCATTCAGGAACTCAATATGTGTTAGGATACTACAGATCCCTCAACTCACAAAAGAATTTGTGTCTCACCTGTGGGGTAAAATAAACATTGCGAGAGAAGCAAGTCACCATAAAGCAGGGAGTCATTCTTTCTTCAAGACATGGTATCTCCTCAGGGGCTCAACTCACCGAAATCAAAAAGACTCTGCTCCGTATGAACCTAAGGTAAGAGTAACCATTCAAGATCCAAATATATAATAGTAGCTTCCTACAAGGATCCATGGCCCAGATCAGCAGTAGACTTGTAGCAAATTTGTTCTGTTCTAAGAAAGCAATGCATGTATATATAATATATATATATTATATTTATACATTACTAAGTGTGGGCAAAGTGCTTTGCTTATGATGGCACAATATTGCAATAGATAAGAAGCTGGAATAAAAGAAGGAAGGAAAAAATCATCAGTGATTTTTTTTTGTTTGTTGCCCATTTGAAACACAAAGTCCCTAGGCAGGTTTAGCTTACGCTGTGATGCAGAGGCTGTCTGGAGGGGCAGGATGACAAGACGATTCCTTGCAAGCTGAATGCTTCTGTTCAAAGCCGTGACGTGAGTATCCCACATGTCTAGCATAGGGATGGTGCTGGACATATGGAGGTGTCCATCTTCCAGGTGTTTGGAGCAGAAATAGCTTTGGGGAACGCTCTGGTACAGCTCTTTCAGAGASTATTCATCACCTGCTTCCTGTCTTTCCCTCTCCCCTTTTAATACTGTGTTCCAAACTCAGCCCCCCAAATTAAAACAGTATTTCACAGATGGATATTGAAACCTCAGATTGCAAATATTAATCACCAGGATATGCTCTGAGAGCAGCAGGCATTTGGCAGGACAACTGAAGTCCTCTCATTTCTTGCTCTGTACAGCACTCTAGTTGCCTCTTGGTTCCCCTTTGAGAGGTAATAAATCAGAGCTTTGCCATTGAAGTGAGGAGTTGGTATGCCATTGATACCCTCCTCTTCACCCTGACACAAAGTCACTTTGGCAATGACATGGTGCAGAGGATGGAGGATGGCAGGGAAAAAGCTCACAGGGGGTCCTTGTAAAGAAGAGCAGAAACAAGGTCAGCGAGACCTTCCCCACTGCATGACAGCTGGCGGGATTAGCCATTGCATGGGGCAGAGGAGCTTTCCAGCTTCACTCCGAGGGGCTCTCCAGCTACAGGTCCTGCTTGAAAGGGAGAAGTAGCCCTTTAATCCCAAATCTTGGCTCCTGCACCCATAACCCAGCTCTGCTCCAAGGTCCCGTCCGCTCAGTGCACAGTTTGCGGGCATGTTATCCTGACAGGCTAAGCAGCTCTTTCGTTGCATGGGACACTCCGGAAGAGGTGAAAAGAAAGAATGAATAAATAAATAGAGGCAAGCAAGASATGCTCTCCCCGACTTCTTCAAAGGGCTGGGCAGGCAGCCGGCTCCCTCGGGCTGACAGAGGGGCAGGGAGGCTGTGCSGAGGACGGGCGGCAGGACGGGCAGGAGTGGCAGGACGGACAGAAGGAGCAGCTCAGGGCGGCTCTCGCCGCTTGGGGAGGGCTCTGATTCATCACCCCGTTCAGAGGAGCGGATGGGACGCCGCTAAACTCCCCTTTTTGCCTCCTCCCTTCCCCCCCGCGCCGCCAGGCAAGCCCCCCCTTTCCTCCCCCACCCCCTGCGCTGCTCTTTCTCTCTCCCCAAGCAGTGAGGCTCGGACAGTGCTCGGCTCTAACGCTTTATTTTAGGATGATCGGCCAAGGTCTTTGCAGATAGATTTTATCAGAAGTTAAATAGCGGGCGCTCGCCGCTCCCTCGCCAATAAGTCATTTTTAATAGAGACAAATCGCCCTGGACGCTCCGGAGCGCCGCTGCCGCCGCTCCTGCCCGCGCCCCGCGCCGAAGGCGAGCGGGCAGCCCGGGCAGCTCCCGCTTCCCGTAAGTGCCCTGCTCGGCGGCCCCGGAGCGCGACTGTGTGCGGAGACGGGGAGGCGAGGGAGGGGAGAGCCCGCCCGCCGCCCCGTCGCCCTGCGCCGGATGCGGAGCGGCCGCGGGACGGCCCGAGGAGACGCGCAGGGGCGGCGGGTTGCGCCTCTCGGCTCGCCCATGGAGCGCCCCGCGGAGCCGCGGCCGCCGTCGGACCCCGCACGCCGTACGTATCCCCGGCGCGGCGCCCCCGGCCGCGGGCGCGGAGCGGGGCTGGGCCGGGCAGGGGGGTCCGCGGCCGTCGGGGCGCCCCGGGGCGCGGCGTAGGAGAGGCAGAGGGCGGTGGGCGCTTGTGGGGGTGCGCGGAGCCGCCTCGGGGGGCCTCGTTTGAAGTGCCCGGAGCGGCCGGAGCCCTGACCCCGGCGCCTCCTGCCTCCTCTCCCCGCCCCGGCTCCGCTCCCCAGCGCGCTCCGCGGCGGCGGGGACCCCGCCGGGCCAGGCAGGCACCGGAGTCACCCCAGCCCGCACTACGGGGCTCTCCCGCCCAGTGGAAGGAAGGAGAGCCGGGGAGCGCTGCCTGCTGGCACTCGGCAGCAGCACGGACCGTGCGATCACTTTGCTCTGATGCTGGATTAACTCGATTTTAATCTTTTGTTTTCCCCCCACCCCCATCCACACACCCCATCTCCTCCTTCTCTACCGCCCCCCCTTGTTTCAAACCTAACCTTGTCTTGTGGTCATGGGGTCTATAATTTCATTTTTGTCTAGGCTGGTGAGAGCTCTGCTTGTTCTGTAAAGTGGATGTCAGGTGGATCTATGTTCTGGAAGGAACAAAGAGGCAGCGAAGGCAGCGCGGGGGAAGTTTGAGCGGCGAGGATGCAGGCTGTGTACTGGTACGCGGTCCTTCTGCTGCAGCCCACCCTCTACCTGGTGAGTCTCCGCGGCCCCTCGCAGTGGCCGGGGCAGGGAGAACTCGGGCCGGGGGGTTGATGGGGACACCAGCCGGGAGGAGAACGAACAAACTCACGACAACTCCGCTCACCCCGCCCGCCCGCAGCTCCGCCGGGGCGGCCGCCACCTGGGGCCGGGCGGGGAGCGCAGGGGCTCCTCGTGGAGCGGGGGGCAGAGCCGGCTCTTCTCCCTCTCCCCGGCCCCGCGCTAGAGGCAACTTCTTGTCCGCGCTGCCCCGCGGAGGGCGGGAGCTTCCGCGGAGGAACAGCTCCCCATGYGCCGCTCCGGGAGGCACTGGCTCCGCGCAGCCACGCAGACGGGCACGCAGTGACAGTCGCAGTCGGGACTTCCGTGTGAAGTGTCATTGCCTCCTGCCGCAAATCTGCTTTAAGATTACCGGGGGAGCACGAGTAAACACCGGTGTTATCTCCAGGAATACACGCATTATTCCCTGTAAAAGCGCTAGGAACAAAATCGGGCGGGCTGCTGCTTCCTACTCGCCTGAGGTGCTCTACGCGGCAGGCGCGCCACGGCAGCGCCCATCACCCTGGGGTCGGGGCGGGGAGGAGAAACCCCAGCCCCAAACCGGGGCGAGGAGCCGCGGAAAGGCTCCGCGCAGCAGCACCGGTGCCTGCGCCTCGCTGCGCTGCGCGCCTCGCTGCGCTGGCGCGGAGGCGCCGCCTGGGGGCGCTGCGCGGCAGCCGGAGCGCGGAGCGGCGCGGAGCGGCGCGGGGCGGCCAATCCTGGCGGCGGGTTGGGGAGGAGGGGGGTTGCGCGCAGCTCCCGCGGCCGCCAAGCGCCCCGCGCAGCCCCGTCTACCGCGGGCGTTTCTCTTGCGCACCTATTTTATAGCCGCGGGTGGGGACGAGAATAGGGGGGGAGTGTGAAGGAGGGGAGAAAAATGCGCGGCAAATAATCCATCAGAAAAGCCGGGGCGAGATCGATACGTCGTGTTAAATATTAAATGTGTTTGCTGGCAGTTAAACTGCTCTCGACTCATTACAACAACAGCGCTGGATTTATTCTAATGCGCCGCAGTCTGAACAACAAGCGCATTAATTCTCCTTTAATTGTAAACTGGGAGCATTTGAAAACCATTCAGTGTGCAAATTATGCTGATTCAATTACCGTTTAGTTACAGACTTCATTACCTGAATGCTTTTTTTTTATTTTTTTTTCCCCGAGGGTTTGATACTACAGAGAAAATGAGAGTTTTCTTAATTCTCTCGAAACAATGTGAAATATTATACAAAAAAAAAAAAAAAAAAAAAAAAAAAAAAAAAAAAGAGAATAAGAGGCAAGTTAGGGGGAGTGGGCGCGTTCTTCAGTTGGACTGTGTCGTCTTCCACGAAACAAAGTAGGGTGGAGGAAAATCCAGAGGATTTCCCTCTCTCCCACGACTCCTCCAAGGCGATACTTCCCCGTTGGTGCCAGTAACTGCCTGTTCTCTTATTTCGGGAGAGACTCTGGAATTCGCGTTAGGGCCCCAYGGGGTGACAAGCTGATGTTTAGCACCGAAGCGTGAAGCTGTGACCAGAGCTGGGACAGTGACACCGAGCAGCGGTTTGTGGCGCCCATCCGAGTGCACGTCTCCGTTCTATTCTTCARCTAAGAACTATAATTTCAGTAGCCAAAGTGCTAGGAAGGGTAAATGAAACAGAAAGGTAACCAGCTTTCCATAGAGTATTTTTAAAAATACCCTCTTCGAGAGGYGTTAATATATATGTTATCCTCTCTATTGCCCTCCGTGTGAGCAGGCAGCATTCAGGGGCAGGGAACAGTGGAAGCAAGGCTAGGTCGCCTTGAAGTTTCTCATTTGCGGCCATCCGGCTGCCCTGGCGTTTCTCGTCACCAAATAGACCAGTGATTTTTTTCTTCTTTTCTTAATGATATCCTGAAAAATGGAGTGGAAAAAAAAAGCGCTTCCGCTTTTCTCCTCCTCTTTTAATAGAGCCATTCAGTCTTATTGCCTGAAATTTATAGAGGTCACGGCCGAGCAGAATGACTGGGAATTTTGCCGGCGTAGAGAAGGTTCGCTGTATTATGTTTATTGATAAGAACATTAGTTAGTCTGGGCGAGACATGCATTTTCTCCTTGTTTCTAGTTGTGCAGTGTGCTGAAAACGTTATATTTGATTTGCCAAGAAAATGCACTTCCTTCGGCCTAAACGAATAATTTAGTGCTTATTTGGTAGAATTGGGAGTTAACCTTTAAAGGCTTGCAGTTGTTGTGTTTCTTCAGATTTAGAGAGACACAGAAATATTCAAAATGCTGCACTCAGTCATGAGGCTCCACTTTGCTGCTCTTCTTTCAAAAGCATCTTAGTCGTATTTTAACAGTTAATGTTTTCTTTCATAGTAATGCTGTGCCAAACTCAAAATACTCAGTAAGGAAGCATGTAAATATTAGGAAAGAAAAATACACCCGGAGACTGTAGTCTGCTAAAAGCTTGAGCACTGTGTATTTTTAAGGACACCAGGGTTTTACACCACTTTTAATTGAAACCTTTTTCTCTTTTAATTCCCGACTGCTTCCCGGTGAATCTCCAATCTGACCCAGAAGGAGAACAATCCACCAGGCCGTTGCTTTTCARTTCTTTATTTTTCCCGGGTAGAAGCAACATGCGGCAGGACCAAAGCGGCGGGCGACCAAATCACGCGGGTGGCTGGAAAAGARGGCGAGCGCTTTAACCGCAGCCAGTTCTCGGCGGTGCAGGTCGCGGACGGGCCAGTCGGACGAGGCGGCCCCTCACCGTGTCGCCCGACAGGGCAGCGCCGGCAGCTCCCGGCTCCCGACGGCCGTTCTCGAATCCCGATGGCGGCTCCCGGCTCCCGACGGCCGCTCCCGGCGGCGGCCGCTGGCCCCGCGCAGCCGTCGGGCTTTGTCTCCATCCCGCCGCCCCCGCTTGCTCCGGAGGGAAATTCCTGTGCGGTGCAAGGCAGGGATAACCCGGGTTCGCCGCGCTTACTCTTATTAAGAGGCTTCAGCTCCCTGCCGGTGCTTGCTGTGGGGAGCATCGGCTACAGAGCTGAAGCCAGACGRACTTTTGCAGGCTGCTAGGGTAAGGCTTGCTCTCCCTGCTCTCTCCTGAGCCTTGCCCCCTTCTCCCAGCAAAAAGGTGCTTCGTCGACGGGTTTATAAATTAGGATTTACATCTGTGTTAGTTTACACAGTGTTTTTTTTTTTTTTTTTCCTCCTCTGTGGAAGTAGCGCAGATGAGAGCCCTTCACCTCCTGGTGGRGTCTGCGAGCAGGACGTGTCCCGGGAGAGCTGCTCAGCGCGGCGCTTTGCCAGGAAAGGGCTCGTCGGGGCTCGGGGTGGCTTTCACAGGGCGAGGACGTTAGCACAGGCCCAGAGGAAAAGCCTCCCCTCTTTATTATGCTCGTTTTTAAGGGGTATTTCGCACCGTCACTGCAGTTTGGAGGCCTGACTGCCGAGGGGAGCTTTCCTGCAAAGATGCCGTGAACAGCAGCACTCAAATTGTCCTCAGCGGTGGCACATTCGGTGCGGTATTTGCTGAGGGGGTAAACAGGAGGTTAGTGGCTCCAGAGTTTGTGTACATTTAATTTCGCTCCATGTCGCACTGTTTGCGGTCATTTCTGCCCAGTTAATGAAAGCTAAGGAGAACGTGAGGAGATATCACGTGCCAGCGGAGACAGTTTTTCTTTTTCTTCTCTCTCTCTCTCTCTCTCTCTTTTTTTTTCTTTCTATTTCTTCTTTTTCCCCTCTCTGTCTCTCCTTTTTTTTTTTTTTTTTTTTTTTTTTTTTTTTTTTTTCTGCTGATTGTGTCCTACTTTGTCGTGGAAGGAAAAAAAAAAAACTCTATAAGCAGCGAAGATAAAAGAAAACAACAAAAAAACCCCGAAAGACAGTCGGCATTGTTCTATCATAATCACCACCCATGGTATTTTTGCAGAGGCATTGGTGTTGAAAGCGTTCGAGTATTGCTTTTTTTCACCCCGCGAATAAGCGATTTCGTACAATTTTCAACTTGACGTCGAAGGGGGCAAAAGAGGGGGAGGAGGGAAGATGCAGGGAGGAGAGAGAGAGGTGGCAGGACGGTTTTTTATGCGAGTGAGTTAACACAGTCTGCAAACAGTCTCGCTCCTCTTCTCCTTTTGAAGGAGTTGGAAGGAGTTTCGCGGCGGTGCGCGGAGGGAATTGCTATTCGGAAGGTGAGGCGCGAGAAAAGGCAGCCGAGTCGGGTCTCTTGCAGCTGGTGAAACGAATTTACCTGCGCTGTAGGTTTCTGTCAAGCGGAGCATGGTGCGTTTCCTCCCGGGCTTCATTTCTGCCTATCCATCAGAGGTTTAAGAAGGGGCTTCGCTGAACGTGAAGTTCCTTTCCCTGGTGCTTAATATACACCATTTTCACTTTTTAAAGTGAACCTGGAACAGGTTTAGTCTTTTAGGTAGTGAATATAGTTCACTATCTCCTCCTTTGCTTGATTAGCCAAATCTTCCAAGTCGGTACCTAGAGGTATCCATTTTAAGCTCTTTAGTATTTCCCTGYATCTCTAAACCGCCATTTTAATTAACCAAAAGGCAATTTTCCAGTCGTCTTGGAAAGTGCTGTGAGGCTGGTTAAGACACCATTTGCTTGGAATAGCCAGTACTTGGAGAAATGAGTCTGTAAGACGAACTTCCCTCCTTAGGATTGGCTTCTGTTCTCCCAATTGGACTTGAGTGAAGTTAGTGCTGTGATTTATCAGCTAGTTAAATTCCCAACTCGCTCTTCTTGTAAGTCAGCATTAAACCACCTCCTGGGTGCTTTGTAAATACAGCTTTAGCATTTTTTTTTATGCAGCGGATTGACATGTTGACGATTCTGCTTTAAGGAATGTGACAATAAAGTGGAAAACCAAAGGCTGGCGAGCACTTCATCAAGGATA